CATCCCGTTTCCTTGCCTCTCTGTTTTGCTTATGTGAACAAATAACCAACTTCAGCCGAAACACTGGTGTAAATTGGTGGTACTCAGGATCAGAACGTACAGCCATGCAGCTAACACCAGCGAGGAATTTCTTTAAAAGGGGCCGTAGCAAATCTGGGACACAGGAATGAAATGCTTTAGAAACAGATAATCTTCACTAGACAGATGGCAATGCCAGGAAAGGAGATAAAAATAGTTTTGAACTGTTGAGCTGCTGCAGATTCATGGTCAGAACAGAAGATGCTCTGCAATACTGAAACTCAGAGCAGCTTCACATTTTTATTTACTAAGGAGCATAAGAATGAAGGAGAACAATAGGGAGACACATGGGGTGAAGAGTAAACGTATGCATAATAGAAGAATGAAAAGAAAACTAAACCAAGTAATAAAGGGAAGAAAACTCTGGAAAGCTGTTAACATTTCCTTGGTAATAAATGCTAAACAAATGGATTTCATTATCAGGAGGCAAGGAGTTTTAAGGAAAAGATGGCAACCCCCAGTCACCTCAACTTGGACCGTAGCTCAGCTTTAATACTACAGCAGCAAATCGGTATGAAGCAATGTCATTTATCTGGGTCTATTGTTCCTTTTCTTTGTTGAACACATTCACAAATTAGCACATTCTTTTTGGCAGGACATCTTTCACCCAGCAATTAGAAACTACAGTAGAACCTCAGAGTTACAAACACCAGAGTTACGAACTGACCAGTTAACCACACACCTCATTTGAAACCAGAAGTACGCAATCAGGCAGCAGCAGAGACAAAAAAAAAAAAAAAAGAAAAAAAAATACAGTAGAGTAATGTGTTAAATGTAAACTACTAAAAAATAAAGGGACAGCAGCATTTTTATTCTGCATTGTAAAGTTTCAAAGCTGTATTAAGTCAATGTTCAGTTGCAAACTTTTGAAAGAACCATAACATTTTATTCAGAGTTACGAACATTTCAGAGTTACGAACAACCTCCATTCCCAAGGTGTTCATAACTCTGAGGTTCTACTGTAGCTTAAAACAAGGAGCTCAGGCAGAATTTGCTAAAAATGACATATGGGTATGAAATGTCACTGAAGAGTTTGAGGACCACTGGTCTAGGCTCACAATTACAGAAAATACATGTAGTTATATTATCCAGGTACTATCTGAGAATTTACTCAGACCTCACCACCATCGTACCACACAATCATCATGGCATTTCCCCTCACAACTCTCTTCATGATGTAACAAAACATTTCCCCCAGTTTACAGTGCAGATTAACTGATTATGCAAAGTCATACAAGGAGCCTGTGACTTGTATGTAAACCCAGGTCTTCTGCATCCCAGTCTAGTGCCCTATTCACTAAACCATGTATTTTGCTTTATATTGCCACATTAAATGCTATGAGTGTAGTAACTTGAGTGATGGAATTTAGTTGTAACTCTTACTAACATTAAAGGGAGCCACACATCAAAACTCTTAGCTAAATCACATTGAGCATTTATTCCTGGTACTCAACTTTGCCCTCCACTAACACAACTAGCTAATCCAATATTTGTAAAATAACTGTACAGTACAAAGGAAAAAAGACTATTTAGAAACGTAATGGATTTTTTTTCCTTGAGCTTTCTCTTATTTCTCTCCTCTAATACACAAATAAGGAATCACATGAGCAAAAATAGTGGCTGCTCGGGTAGCATTTCCACCTGGGAATGGGCAAATTTTAATCAATAGAACTTCTTACTAACTAAGACCCCGATCCCCTAAACACATACTTACTAAACTCTAGGCACATTAATAGTTCCATTGACCTCAAGGGGACTGCTCATGTGCCAGAAGTTAAGCACCTACATAAGTGTATGCAGGATCAGCCTCAAAAAAACTTCTCTGTATTCAGCTTCATGTTGTCTTTCATTCCATCTATATTGCATTGGAAAGACACTATTTATGGTGGTTCAGTATTTATTAAGCATAATATTCAGCACTGGCTAAACATTAAGCGATTCTCAAACTTCATTGCACCACAACCCCCTTCTGATCACAAAAATTACTACATGACCCTGAGATGAGGAGCCTGAACCCAAGCCCCACCGCCCCAGGTGTGTGTGTGTGGGGGGGAGGGGTGAAGGGAGAGGGTGGCTGAAGCCCCAGATGCAGGGGGCTGTAACCTGAACCCCACCGCCCAGGGCTGAAGTCTTTTGGCTTTGGCTTCAGCTCTGGGCCTGAGCAAGTCTAATGCCAGCCCTGGTGACCCCATTAAAATGAGGTCATGACCCACTTTGGGGGCCCAACATACAGTATGAGACCCACTAACCTCTAATCCCTTTGCCAGAGATGCAGCTACATTTTATTACCCACCCTCCCCACCCCCATTTAAAGAGTTGCCCCAGGCCACAGATGGGTTTGGTGTCAGAGCCATTAAGACTTAGGAGTTCTGAATTCCTAATTGGATGCTCAGAGCACTAGGCCTCAGCTCTTTCTCCTTAGGAGTACCTTGTCAAAGAAGGAATAAGAGGTATGCTTCCCTTTTGACATATCCAAGTCACACATTCCGATACCTTTGTTTTACAGCGAGTCTTAAGAATCAGGTCGGTGATCTTCTGGAGGCCAATGAGGCTGCTGTTCTGGAGCTGGCAAATGCAGACGAAGAGATTTCACAACTGAAAAATGAAATGGCTCAATTAAAATCTGAATATCTGCAGAAGATAAAAGAATCCAAAGAAGAAAATCATCTTCTCAAGGAAATGGTAAGGAATCTCCCAGGCCCGAGAAAGCCTAGCTCAGGGGTAGCTCCGAGCCGCGTACAACAAACTTCAGAAGTTTGAGAGCCGGGACACGCCTGCCCTGTGGGAAGGGGGGTCTTGGGGCGCCTGCCCTGTGGGGATGGGGGTCTTCTGCCCCACAGGTAACACCTTCAGGGGGTCAGGGCTTTAGCCCTGCTCCTATTGAAGCCCCAAGACTCCCCACCCTGCTGGGCAGAAGCCAGAGGTGACATGGGGGGGAGGAGACGACCACATAGAGTCATGTACCACCCCATCTTTGCAGAGTTTACTGGCACCACTTGGTCACATGCTGCTGCCAGGCCCCCTCCGTGCATCGTAGCTGCTGGAGCCAGCATGCTGGGAGCTGCAGCTGTGGGGAGAGGCAGCAGCAAACACCTGGGAGCTGCAGGGAGGGGCCACTGAGTGTAGAGAGGGGTGTGCTTGGGCTTGGGGGGCATGACTCAAGCTGTCAGGGGGGGCAAACTTTTAAGTTGTGCCTCCCCCCTCAGCAGGCACCAGTAATCTCTGGCAGAAGCTCTTAGCCCCATCACCCTGCTGCAGGGCAGAAATCCCAAGCTGCTCCCACCCCAGTTTGGTATGTGGAGAATGGGCAGGTATGGGGGGCTCTGCAAGCTGCACTTCAACCTCATGAGCTGCGGTTTGGCCCCCCCGGCCTCGCTGCTGGCTACTTACTCAGAATATGGTGTATTACGGGGAAAGAAGTGTGATGCAAAGTTGTGTACGGAGAACTTGCACTGTACAGTGGGAACATAAAGCCGAGGGGAATTTGAATTTGGATGCCTAGAGTTTCTCCAGCTTTCCCTTCTGGCTGATAGACAGCATGTTACTGGCAAACTCAGGAGAAAGCCACATCCAGCCCCACAGCCGTCCCAATATGTGACCTTCTGGAAAGGGGAAAAGGGGGGAAAAATGAGCAGAGCTGTAAGGGGACTCAGTCTCACAGGACTGTCCCTTCTCACAAGAGTCATTTACATTTTATGCATTAAATTGCACAGAAGTCTCCATTTGGTTAGCCAAAAAAAGCAACAAAATGAATGTACACAGTTGTCTTGTATAGTAGTAAAATGAACCAAGGAGAATATCTGGTTTATCAAACAGACTCAGGCCTGTGTATTCTCTTTCCTCCCACTCCCACCATGCTGGCTTTGCACTGTGTTTTTTCCAACTTGCTGTTTTTTATACAGTACCTCGAGTCCTTACAACAGGACATCGGCTCCATCTCATTGATAACAGAAGTGTACAGTAATTAGGCCCTGATCCGTCAAGTCTTTACTCCTGAGATCAGTCCAATTGAAGTCAATTCCTTCATCGCATGGGTTTGTCCCTGTGCATAAGGGTTGTGGGATTAGGCCCCGAACTGAAAGTAATGTCCCAATATTGACAAAGTAGCTACTTTAATAAAACAAACTTGTTTTTCGTAGTATTTATGAGCAATCGAGGGCAATATGGTTATATTTCAATTCCAGTTTTAAAGAACAGCACTGAAAGCTACTGGGAAACATCTCCACACACTGCTTTTATGGCTATAATAAAAGTTGCTTTCAGTTTTAAAGGTAGGCAACGCAGTGTGGGGATTCCATGATACACTTGGTGATTTGTATGGCTCATGAACACATGTACATTTCTCTCCTTGGCTGATGGATTATTAGAGTCACAGCCAGCCTGCGCTTAAATGGTTTAACCATATTTTGCATAGTGCCCTGCTATTACTCTATTAGCATCATTGTTATTATTATATTTCTCCTGGTTTTTTTCATCTTGTAGGCTTTCCTATACTACTGCAGCTTCCCAAGCAATTATTCTTGCTGTGGAAAGCATGCAGGTAGAATTCAAAGCAATTCTATGAATTATTTTAACTCAGATCTGTATTTAAATGAGCATTACAAGAGCTCAGAGAAGATGTATTTGACTTCAAAAGCACATTTAAGAAGTTAGCTTCCATTCTCTTATGTCTATACTTTATTATAATCTCTCTCATATCTATACACACACACACACACAGTTTCTCTCTCCAAAACGTAAAGTCTCACCACAGCTACCCTCAAGCATTATCTAAATGCTATAGGCAATGAAATAATGCCATGCCATTTTTATTTTAAAGATGAACACGGTGAGCAAGAGGCACGCTCCACTAGCAACTTATGAGCAGGACCTGCATGAGGAGATTTTTCAACTAAGACGTGAGTCCAGGAGGTTGAGAGAACTCTGTCACCAACTAAATGAGGAAAACCACAGACTGAAAGAAGAACTATGGGATGTTAAGAGGGAATACGAACGGCTAGCACAGATGGCAACAGCTAGAAAGAAGGGTAAAGCAGGCAGCCCAAAAATATGTCATTTTACAGTTTATTTCTCAGGCTCTTTAGAGGTCTAGGAAAAGACAAGCAATGAAATGCATGACACTGATGCATGGCATTAAAAACATTTTAATGAGTCTACTTGAAATGGTATAGTTTAAATAAAATGCTTCTTCATGAAAAACCATGTAGCACCCCATCATTTTGGAAGTAAAATACAGAGCAGGATGTTCTAAACCCTGTTCTGTATTTTCTGCCACCGTGAAGTACATCATTTTACCCCAGGCTCTAATAAGAACAAGAGCTATAAAACAGTGTCTTGGTGAAATGTAATGCACACTTGTTTTATTTCTAAGACTTCAGCTTTTACTGGAAAAACAGTTTGTTTCAATTTCAGTCATTACTCTTCTTCCATATATTGTATCGTGAATGTGGTGCCTTGCATAAGTACACAATTTACAACCAGGGCTGTACACTTCAGAACAATTTTTCTTGTTATGATTGGAACTCTGTGCCATACAGATCACACTTGAGACTGTGCAAATGAGCCTTTACAGGATGGATGTTATTCACAGTTTGAATTCTATAATGTACACAACCCCCCAAGGGCTCAGGACAGCTAATAGCCTTTCAAGACAGGTTTTGGGCCTATAGAATCGCCCCATAATCTTACTTGGTGAACTTTCTGCTGCTCTCATTTTAAACATTCCACCTTTTTGAAGCTGCAGTTCCCCTTTAGAAAAGTTCTGAGCCCCAGTTTGAATGGTTTTCAACTAATGAGAGACTGATTGAAACCAATTGGAAAACCTGTGTGTGTAAAAAGGGCAAAGCAGGACCTACCAATGGTCCTGCTTGAAAAGTCATTGGGATGGGAGAGTGAAGGACACAGCTATGCAAGAATGAATAGACAAAGAAATGGCACCATTCTGTGCATATAGAAGCTGGTTCAAATGCTCATTAGAAAGCACTAAAAAAAGTTATAAATGAATTAGATACTTATTTTTTTTGATGGATTGTATCCCTTCTGCCAATTACTGAGGGGACACATTTGCGCCACTGGAAATCTTATTCATAAGAGAAATGCTATTGAGCACAGCAGCATGCACACATTCCAAAGGTTCTACAAGGCTGCATCGAAGGCCCTGATTCAGCAAAAGCCTTAAACACATCCCTAAGTGCAGGGCTGAAGCCCCATTGGCAAATGAAGGCCAAGGAAAAGGTTGCAAGAGGGAGATGAATATAAAGGGAAAATGAAGGATGGAGAGGAACAGGAAGAGCAAGTCTTATATTGGAGGGATAAAAGGAAGGAACAAGACAAAGCAAACAACCAGTCAGTAGACAGCGATCAGCACAGTGCACATGGGTGAAAATGGTAGGAATTAAGACCACCTCTTGCCAGCACTTTTCGAATCTCTAAAACAGGGGTAGGCAACCTATGGCACACATGCCGAAGGCGGCACACGAGCTGATTTTCAGTGGCACTCACACTGCCCGGGTGCTGGCCACCGGTCCAGGGGGCTCTGCATTTTAATTAAATTTTAAATGAAGCTTCTTAAACATTTTAAAAACCTTATTTTATATACAACAATAGTTTAGTTATATATTATAGACTTATAGAAAGAGACCTTCTAAAAACGTTCAAATGTGTTACTGGCACACGAAATCTTAAATTAGAGTGAATAAATGAAGACTCGGCACAGCACTTCTGAAAGGTTGCTGACCCCTGCTCTAAAAACTACCCTGAGAAAAACCGAGAAGTGAAAGCCTGGTAATTCGACAATAGACATATTAATAGACAGTAGGCCAAAAAAAAAACCTCTGCATTCAACTACTCTTTTTTAGGCCAGACCACAACATTAATTCCTTGGACTGATCTTTGCAAGAAAGACACTCAGACTAGAATTCTATCATCAGTGCAGTATGGGTAAGTCATGGGAGAAACGCATGTAATCTTTTTCTATTAACCTTATTATGCTAACCAGGGAATGACACTATAAGCAAGCAGTACACATTGAGAAGAAATGAGTCAAACTGGACATCATGGAAAAAGCTGCATGAAGTGTAAAATAATGGTATCACCATAATAAACACTTTACTCCCCCTTACCAGAACAGCAAGTTGCACTCCAGCCTTTACAAGCCCCTTTTGTATTTTGTTTTTGTACTGAATGTCCATCTATGCTGAGCAATTCTATAGGCACAATTTTTACTACCTAAACAAGTAGTGAAAATACATAATAGATGTATCTTATTCAATTTCCCACCCACAGAATGTGATTAATTGTACCTTCTTGTCAAAAATCTGCTTTAACCAACCAGCATGTCAGAATCTGTTTTGGATAGGATGTGCTAAGATTTGAGCAATTCTGATAAGATGGTATAATTCTCTCCAAGCCCCCATCTGTTTTCACCAGCTTTGAAAATCTTTGTTTTGATAGTTGTATACAAAAAGAAAAAGAAAAACTAATGGTCATGATCCCTCATGTTCTTTACAGAGCAATAAACAATCAGTGGTACTGTTTTCCCATTTCTTTGCTCTTAGCAGGAAAGAAGGTTTACAAACAGATGAGATGAATGGAATTCCCAGCAGCAGAATGGTGTCTATACTCAAAGTTTTCAGCCCCCATGCATGTGATGGTAAGTGATGTTGAGTTTGGAAATTGCCATGCTGGGATTAATATATAAAAATAATTTTTAAATTGGGCCTTCACTGTCTTGTGCTTCAGTAATAAAGGTGTGATATTGGGATTCTTAGCTGTATTTCCAAAAACTTCCCAATTGAGATCTTACTGGGTTAACGTGCATGTGCAATGAGCTCTGTGCGGGCTCCCTATGCACAGCTCATTACAGGGCTATGGTGTGAAACAAGTTAAATGAGGAGCCAACATAAAGGATCCAGATAGAACGGCTATCATTTTGTCTTTCTGATGAAGAACAACTTTACTATTATTAGTGTTTTCCTTACCAGCAGCATAAGCAGTACGTTTAAAACAAACAAACAAACAAGAAGATTTTTTCCCCAAAGACATTTTATACCCTGTAACTTTTACGGTTTGAATATTTCCCCCATTTTTTAATTTGTTTAACACCAGGTAGCCTAATGCCCACATTTTTAAGCCATCCACACTGCAGTTAAACTTAAATGATCCATAACCAGTGCTTCTGAGATGCCTTGGTCTACAAGAGGTGATAAGCAAGAACTTCTCTTTTGCTTTCTTACCTTCATCACTTTTATGTGCTGTTCCTGATAGTAGAAATATTGCTTAAGAATGTATATGATACATGGTCCTGTACATCAGTTTAGAAAACACTGATATACAAGTGATTTGTGACGTGAGTTTAAGTATGTTGTTTTCCTATTGTTTCACTGCTTTCTGCATTAGAGTGTTCAAATTTAAATAAATAATAAAATCACATTTATAGGCAAAAATTACATGTGTAAGTCTCTGAGAATGGAAAAAATCGTCTCAAACAAATTGCTTAGCCTAGTATATTCCTTTATTAATAAATAGAATAGTAATTGTACTAGTAAGCCTGAGGTTCATCATAAGCAGCTTAGTTTTTCTTTTCTTAATGTATCAAATTCCGCTTTCTGTTTAAAACTAAGATCTGCTCCACCATCCATGATGCTGGCTGTTAGGTGCTACACCATTACAAACAACATAATAATACAACACTATTAACCCTTAGTGCATTTTTACTGCTCAAAATAGTAATTGCATCTTTACAGTAATATCTAGAGCTGGTGAAGTCGATATGAGCAAACCTTTTTTTCTTTCTTTAGAAAGGCAACAAGAATGTTCTAAAAGCAATGCCTCCTCAATGTCTATGAATAGTGAGTCTACAGACATTCTGATCACTGGATACCATGATACAGGCTTAAAGAAAGAATCTAAGAGAAACTCAAAAGGTACATTGTTTTAACTACATACTGATTAGAGTTGTTCATTAAAATTCTCTCCAGGTCAATTGATGCTTTTTTCTATTGCATTACATAGAATTTTTATTTCCAATACCTTTTATATCAGTATATATTCTACCTGAACAGAAGAGTTAATTCTGTGGTCAGAACCCTGCTGATGGTTAAATAATCTTGCCATATTTTCACATGCAATCTACTGTTGTCTTAATAGTCAAACAAAGCATTGTGACTGCCCTTTATTCATATTTTTGGGAAATATTTGTATCAGAATGATCACTGCTTCTCAGCTGGGATTACAATAGTACTTCTTTTTGAAAAAGCTGAATATTCACAATAGCAATCAAACATGTTCTCTGATATATACAGTAGGCCCTGGGGTTCAGATACTGCACTGAAAGTACTTTAGATATGGAAGCGTGTTGTACAAATAATATCAAGGAAGCTTTTAACTTTTTTAAAGTAAATTCTAATTATTTAACTTTTGTAAGTATTATATTTATTTAGTTCTGTTTTCCCTAAGAAAAACCCACAAGAAGGGCCTCACCTCTGTGAGGATCCTCTTACCTGTACCATCTTTATCCACCCATAGAAGAGGCCAGAAGCCATACATGGCTTGGGATCTTGTAGATCACAGGGGGTCCTGCAGAAGGCCATACCCATCTACATGGAAGTTTTGCAACCCTTCACCAGCTCTGGTGTTGGTGGCTATTTGGCAGCACAGCCCCAGATAGATTTATTTTTTTGATCAACTTCCTCAGGGTTGTGGAGCTCAGTCTCTGCCCTTCCCCCAAACCTTCAAAGGTGGTGGGGGAGGGGGGGGCAGTGGCTGATCCTTCCTGGACGATCAACACACAGAGGTTCCCCTACATGCATTGATCCATGGGAGATGAGCTGTTAGGTAAGAGAGGATCTGTGATTAATAGGGATGGCACACCAGCTGTTAGAGATTACTTAGCTTTGAAGTGTCATCTGGAATTTCCAAATTCATAGATCACTAGCCTCTTTTTTCTTTTAATTATGCAAAGTTAGGGCTTGTGAAATGCGCTGGCTCTTTCGGGAGACTGAATCCGCTGAATCTACATCACTAGTAGACAGGAGCAGTGGCTGTTCAAGTTCCCCGCACTGCCTTAAAGTACTTCACCAAGGTGCTAGAGACTGACTACTCTCTGTGTATGCGCACAGTTCCAGTTCAGTTAGCCTTTGGACCCACCTTTGAGACTACCTATAACACTGCCTCTTGTGATGATAGGATATTTAGTTTATTAGACAAATCAAACATATGACCATTAGAAATTGAATTGTGTCCGCAGTTAAGTTCACATGGGTCAGCTGACAACCACTTTTGGCCTAAGCTGGAATTGAACCAGGGACTGGTATTGAAGGACTTCATCTATCATTATGAGACATTCTGTTGATGCATCAGTCTGTTACTTCCAGACAGATGACTAAGTTGCCGTATGTAACCAAGTTTAGTATAAATTTCTGAGGATACCTTTCTAGTCTTCAGTTTAGAAAATGGATGAACAATGTACAGCTTCAGTGCACCCTCTGACCATACTGGTTTTATTGCTGCTTTCAAGATGGTGCATGTGAGGAGATCCCAGAACCGTGTGATGATGATTTGTCTGCAGTCAGTCAGCAAAATAGGACACGTCATCAGAATTCTCTACAGCATGATACAGATGTAACAGGCAGCCTCTCTGCAACGGATACCTGCAGTAAAAGTGCCACGAGCAGGTAATTTAGAATTAAGCATTAATCACAATTATTGAACTTAAAGCAAGAAAATTTTGCTAGACATTTTACGTTTTCTAATCCTATTAAAAATCTATTCTAAAATAAACCCTACCCCAAGCAGAGCTTTCTATTACCTGGAAAGGAAGAAGAGGAAGAGACTCCATGAAGTCTACTACAGACTCGGCTAGTGCTAATTTGCTTTCCCAGAAGATGCTCAGAAGCTTTGGTGATGGGCTACAGTACAAAACCTTAACACAGAGATGTTGATGAGCGCATCAAAAGAAATCCATGTTTAAATCTGCTTAGGAACATGTGTTGTGTAACTGGGCTAGCTTCCCACCTTTGCCCTCAATTCCTGAGGAATTAGGAATGGTGTGTGAGGTTGAGGGGTTGCTTGTATGGCCACGTTCTTAAGTCACTATATTGTTAAAAGCACTTAGTCTCCTGACACACATGCCAGTGGCCTCCCGTGTACAAAAAACATTGTTAAAACGTCAGCTAAAATCTTCAAGTCACCATCCTCAAGCAAAGACCCAACTGTAATGGTAATGATATGCCTTCCAGAGTTCCCTGATGGGCCACACTTTGTGGCTTTGTCAAACCAATGGGTGAAGTGGATTCAAGGGTTCAACACATCCTGCTTCTAGTTTCTCAACAGACAAGTTTATTTCAATCACCATGGTGGAGCATGAAGAGATAATCAGCCATCACCCAAAACTACTGGCTACTGTGGAACCCAGGGGCAGTGGGGAATCCAAATATGAACCTCACTTACAAGATAGGCATCCTCTTACAGTAGATGTTTCTTCATGCCCATCAGTATCATCTTGATTATCATCCACAAGGTGTTTCCGTGAATTTGCTCGTCTGCCCTCCTTCTAAGATAGGATCCTCTGAATGTTTATAACTACTACTGTTTTTCATAACAAGAAAAAGCTAAATTGTATCTCACTTGCTTTGTGTACTGTGCCCTTATCATACATCAAAGTGATCTTGCTTAACTAAAGAGTATTGCAGGTTTCACAGCAGCCAGCGTGACTTAGTCTTGACCAAGGGGAAGAGTATCCAGGGCCATTTAGTCGTTGGACTTAGGACATGGGTTAAAGGGGGTCCTTTTTCTTGTTGTGAGGGGGACAGCTGTTCATTAGGAACTGAACAGTTATTTCACACCGGCCAGGAATAAGCAATCAGATGATGATGATATTTGGTTACTACCAATCAGGGCTGGGATTGAAGTCATGGCTTCATAGTAGATCAATTGTGTTATCTAACAATTCTTCTTTGAGAGATGTCCCTGTGGGCACACCAGGTCAAGGTGTGTCCCAGCGCCTTCGATCGGAGATTTCTACAGCAGTACCCCTATGGGCCGCGCATGCGCTATGCCTGCCTCTCGAGTGGTCAGTGTTCTAATAGCGCGTGCATAGCCTGGGCTCCTCAGTTCCTTCTCTACCGTCCCCGGCTAGAGACGGAGTTCAGCAGTGCTCTTTGAGATTAGCTAGCTAGTTAGTTTCTCAGTTTAGTTAGATAGATAAGTTACATTAATGACTGAAAACTAAGTAGTAACTCTAACGGTTACATTTATTTCTCAAAAAAAACCCACCTCCGCGGTTTCGGACATGCTTGGTTCAAGAGACGCGCCTCTTGTAAGGATGCCATCCTCATCTCGGACGGGCATTCACAGTGCGTACGCTGTTTGGGGGAGTTTCATGTACCCCAAAAATGCATCCATTTATAGGGGGAATCTATACAGGAAGGATGGGCTCCACCTAAACCAAAGTGGAACCAGACTGCTGGCACTTAACATTAAAAAGGTTGCAGAGCAGTTTTTAAACTGAGAGATGGGGGAAAGCCGATTGCTACTGAGGAGCACGTGGATCGGACAGAGACTTCTCTTAGAGGAGAGTCTATTGATAGAGATTCTCTAGGTTCTAGTCAGGAGGAGAGGATGGAAGAGGATAATGTATGGGCCAGATCAGACAAGAGACAGTCACATAAAAAAATCTGACACATCAGCAAAGGGCAGACAAATAAACAGTGACAAGTTTTTAAAGTGCTTGTACACAAATGCTGGAAGTCTAAATAAGAACTAGAGTGCCTCGTGTTAAAGGAGGATATTGATATAATAGCATCACAGAAACCTGGTGGAGTGGGGACAATCAATGGGACACAATCATTCCGGGGTACAAAATATATAGGAAGGACAGAACAGGTTGTGCGGGGGGGGGAGGGGGGAAGGGGGGAGAGAAGTGGCACTATATGTGAAAGAAAATGTACAATCAAATGAAGTAAAAATCTTAAATGAATCCACATGTTCCATAGAATCTCTATGCATAGTAATTCCATGCTCTAATAAGAATATAACAGTAGGGATCTATTATCGACCACTTGACCAGGACAGTGATAGTGATGATGAAATGCTAAGGGAGATTAGAGAGGCTATCAAAATAAAGAACTCAATAATAGTGGGGGATTTCAATTATCCCCATATTGACTGGGTACATGTCACCTCAGGACGAAATGCAGACACAAAATTTCTTGATACTTTAAACTACTGCTTTGTGGAGCAGCTGGTACAGGAACCCACAAGGGGAGAGGCAATTCTCGATTTAGTCCTGAGTGGAGCGCAGGATCTGGTCCAAGAGGTAACTATAACAGGACCGCTTGGAAATAGTGACCATAATACAACAACATTTAACATTCCTGTGGTGAGAAGAACACCTCAACAGCCCAACACTGTGGCATTTAATTTCAGAAAGGGGAACTGTGCAAAAATGAGGTTAAACAGAAATTAAAAGGTACGGTGACTAGAGTGAAATACCTGCAAGCTGCATGGACACTTTTCAAAGACACCATAATAGAGGCCCAACTTAAACATATACCTCAAATTAAAAAACCACAGTAAAAGAACTAAAAAAGAGCCACCATGGCTTAACAACCATGCAAAAGAAGCAGTGAGAGATCAAAAGGCATTTTTAAAAAGTGGAAGTCAAATCCTAGTGAGGTAAATAGAAAGGAGCATAAACACTGCAAAATTAAGTGTAAAAATGTAATAAGAAAAGCCAAAAAGGAGTTTGAAGAACGGCTAGCCAAAAAGTCAAAAGGTAACAACAAAATATTTAAGTATATCAGAAGCAGGAAGCCTGCTAAACAACCACTGGGGCACCTGGACGATCGAGATTCAAAAGGAGCGCTTAAAGACAATAAAGTCATTGCGGAGAAACTAAATGAATTCTTTGCTTCCGTCTTCACGGCTGAGGATGTGAGGGAGATTCCCCAACCTGAGTCGTCCTTTGTAGGTGACAAATCTGAGGAATTGTCACAGTTTGAAGTCTCACTAGAGGTGGCTTTGGAATTAATTGATAAACTTAACAGTAAAAAGTCACCAGGACCAGATGGCATTCACCCAAGAGTTCTGAAAGAACTCAAATGTGAAATTGCGGAACTATTAACTATGGTTTGTAACCTGTCCTTTAAATCAGCTTCTGTACCCAATGACTGGAAGATGGCTAATGTAACATCAATATTTAAAAAGGGCTCTAGAAGTGATCCCGGCAATTACAGACCGGTAAGTCCAACGTCAGTATCGGGCAAATTAGTTGAAACAATAGTAAAGAATAAAATTGTCAGACACATAGAAGAACATAAATTGTTGGGCAAAAGTCAACATGGTTTCTGTAAAGGGAAATCATGTCTTCCTAATCTATTAGAGTTCTTTGAAGGAGTCAAGAAACATGTGGACAAGGGGGATCCAGTGGACACAGTGTACTTAGATTTCCAGAAAGCCTTTGACAAGGTCCCTCACCAAAGGCTCTTACACAAATTAAGTTGTCATGGGATAAGAGGGAAGATCCTTTCATGGATTGAGAACTGATTAAAAGACAGGGAACAAAGGGTAGGAATAAACGGTAAATTATCAGAATGGCGAGGGGTAACTAGTGGTGTTCCCCAAGGGTCAGTCCTAGGACCAATCCTATTCAACTTATTTATAAATGATCTGGAGAAAGGGGTAAACAGGGAGGTGGCAAAGTTTGCAGATGATACTAAACTGCTCAGGATAGTTAAGACCAAAGCAGACTGTGAAGAACTTCAAAAAGATCTCACAAAACTAAGTGATTGGGCAACAAAATGGCAAATGAAATTTAATGTGGATAAATGTAAAGTAATGCACATTGGAAAAAATAACCCCAACTATACGTACAGTATGATGGGGGCTAATTTAGCTACAACTAATCAGGAAAGAGATCTTGGAGTCATTGTAGATAGTTCTCTGAAGACGTCCACACAGTGTGCAGCGGCAGTCAAAAAAGCAAACAGGATGTTAGGAATCATTAAAAAAGGGATAGAGAATAAGATGAAGACTATCTTATTGCCCTTATATAAGTCCATGGTACGCCCACATCTTGAATACTGTGTACAGATGTGGTCTCCTCATCTCAAAAAAAGATATACTGGCATTAGAAAAGGTTCAAAGAAGGGCAACTAAAATGATTAGGGGTTTGGAACAGGTCCCATATGAGGAGAGATTAAAGAGGCTAGAGCTTTTCAGCTTGGAAAAGAGGAGACTAAGGGGGGATATGATAGAGGTGTATAAAATCATGAGTGGTTTGGAGAAAGTGAAAAACGAAAAGTTATTTACTTGTTCCCATAATATAAGAACTAGGGGGACACAAAATGAAATTAATGGGCAGCAGGATTAAAAAAAATGAAAGGAAGTTCTTCTTCACACAGCCAACTTGTGGAACTCCTTACCTGAGGAGGTTGTGAAGGCTAGGACTATAACAGGGTTTAAAAGAGAACTAGATAAATTCATGGAGGTTAAGTCCATTAATGGCTATTAGCCAGGATGGGTAAGGAATGATGTCCCTAGCCTCTGTCTGTCAGAGGGTGGAGATGGATGGCAGGAGAGAGATCACTTGATCAGTACTTGTTAGGTTCACTCCCTCTGGGACACCTGGCATTGGCCACTGTCGGCAGACAGGACACTGGGCTGGGTGGACCTT